TGTCCTTGGCAACCATTGCTTCAATTTCATTATACTGATTTTCTAGAAGTAATGAAATTTTTTTACAGACTACATTTCCTTAAATGCAGTTAACTGTTTTCTAATAGTTGGGTTGGATTTAATAACAGCTTCTGTTGCTTTCAAATCTTCTAATATATAATCAACTGCAGTACTACTGTATAAGTGATCTATAAATACTCTCTATAAGTATATACAAGTTACTATAGTTTATCCTCTATAAATGTACTTCATAAAATATACGTAGTTGAGTATGTTTTACAAATATACCTTTTCTGACAATATATACTTTTGAAGGATTGACTATATCGCTATCAATATTAACCATATATATTACACATAATGTTGTCTATTAAACCACTGTTCGTAATAATTAATGAATAATAGTTTTTTAGGTATTTTGTAAAATCGGGTCTACTACAAAATTCAAAAAGCTATTTTTCTGAAAGTACGTAATACTGACTAAATGGCCAGCATTATAACTAATGCTGACCAACTTTGTCAGTATTAGATTCTTGCAGAAATTTGTTTTGCAGAATTTTGTAATAAAATCTGTAAAATCATATAAAAGCCATCATCCTGTAATCATTATGAATTTTTGTATAATCATAAATATGGTGTCATTCAGATTAAGTTTATTAAATTATGAGATTCGTAATGATTTGTTATGCTCATTGCATATATGTAATATAAAAAAGAATTGTTAGAATTATAACTTGTGAATATTAAAAATAAATTTCCATATTATATATTCGAACCTTCTTATGTTAAATGTAACTACAATGCAATATCCTCCTGTTGATCAATTTCAAAATCGTGCTGCTTTAATTAAGCATGTACGAAGTTTTGGTGCTTCACATGGTTACGGCATCTCTATCACAAGATCAAAGCCAAATAAAGTATACCTAGGTTGTGATAGAAGTAGAAGTTATAGAAACTGCTTAGATCTTACAGATGAAACACGTAAAAGACAAACAGGTTCTAGACTAATAGGCTGTCCTTTCTCACTTCATGGAACTAAAGAAAAAAATAATATATGGACTTTATCTATTCAAGATTCAACTCATAATCATGTACTATCAAAAAATACATCTTCTCACCCATCCTTAAGAAGACTAGATGAACCAGCACAAAATCAATTAAATGAAATGACAAAAGCTGGAGTTAGGTTATGGGAGATCTTAGCTTCACTTCGTCAAAATAATCCTGCAATTACAACAA